CTTATCTGAAGTACATGAAAGAATTTCTTTTTCTTTGTTTCTGCTCTGATAGGTACTTTTAATGTAGACAAGAATTAGACGCATAAATTGCAAAAATATGTTCATTTTGTTACTTGACTTGTGACTTGCCTTTGAAGGTCAAGTCACAAGTCAAGTCAAGTCAAGTCACGGTCGTTCTCAAGTCAAGTCGAGTCAAGTCAAGAGTTAAAAGAAAAACTCTCAAGTCAAAAAATGACTTGACTTGCCCATCTCTGCACACCACACCCACCCACACCGACACTCACACCCACACCCACACCCACTCTCAAACAGGAGTTCATTGTGTCTTTTATTCGGAATATATATAACAAGAATCATGGACTTGATCATATCTTTTTGAATGTTCCGATCTCAACGGTGATGAATTATGTAGAGCAAAAGCTTCCTGGTAAAGCTGTTGTGAAGGCACGATATCGAAAGTCTTTGGCAGTTCCGTTGTACATGGTATTACTCCTATTTATCTATTAGCATGACCGAGAAAAACTATTCATGTTTAGTGCGAATGCTATGAATGCAGTATCGATGCTCAATCATTCACCATCATCCTCACCGTCAAGATTTTGACATGAAGCAAGCATGAAAGCCTTTCATTTGCAATGTGGAGAACCAAGTTAAATCTTCAATAATCATTATTTCTCTCAACTAATTTTGTTATTAAAGAAATTCAAGATTGTTTTGACTGGATACAGCGTGCAAAATTGTGTCAAGAGACGTCCTTTTGAAAATAATACCATCTATAATGCTCAGAAAGTTACAGAGCTACAAGAATTCTTGCTGAGAATCGATTAGACCTATCTATTCAAGGCTTTTCTTTTTTTTTCATTGTATATAATTCGCACTGAAAAAAAGCGGAAAAAAGGAGTAAGCGTCACATGAATATTAAGCCCTCACTTTCTATATTTTAGTACAGTTCATTCTTGTTGACATAATATAAAAAAATAAACTTCTTTTAATTATTAATTAGATTGGTCGGTATTATATTCATCATAATAAAAAGCTTGACTAGGATAAAATGTTTAAATAAATAAGTGTACTATACACACATGCTTCGAAGATCAAGGCTTGACGATTGAATGACAGTAAAATGATAGGTTTTTAATTGAGTCCACTCTTTTTTGTCATATAAATTAGATGCTTTGCAATTACCGAGTAACGCTTAACTTGATCGACTCGACATAGATATCCAGCTCTTAATAGCACTTTTTGTTCATATGGAGAATATGAAACAGAATAAATATTCCTTGAAATAATGGCAATCTGTTCTCATCTAATGTGAATTATGAACAATGTGTTTCGACAACCATCTCAGCTGCTGCCTGATGTTTTGATGTAGAAGTAAAAGTCGGCCATCGAATGTGTGTACCAATAGCTTGTTTATATTCTTCGATCATCTCCTCAGTCAAATTAGTATCATGAAAAATAACTTTCATCTGATAACGATTTGTGCGGTCAATAAGATAATTATAAAGCAAACAACAGAAAGGTGAGGATGAGGATGAGAGTAAGCGAAGATCATTATGGTGAGTCAGCGTCATTCATCTAGTCATACGATAGCTCACTGTCATCGTTGCGTTCCTAGATCAATCATATAATAAGGATAATATTGCCTGAGTGTGCTCTTGAGATTTAAAAGTTCCCATGTCGTACTTTTTTTCTCAAAAGCATAAGTAGATACTAAAACCGACGATAACCATTGGTTAACCCATCGATATACCAGCAGTACTGACTACTCAACCGGATTTTCATAAGAATAGCATCAGTCATTGTTTTTTACTTTTATCTTAAGTCATTGAGTCAAAGTGAACTCAAATGAAAACAAAAAACGTTTTGTAAAACGGATTGAGCGAACATGTCTATATAATTTCAAGATTTCATATATGAAAAATTCCATTTGGGCGGATATTGTTGTCACTTTTCTGGCAAGCTTTCAAGCTATTTTATATTCATTCAAGTAATATGCAATAGTTGAGTTTTCACTTGTTTTTCTTTCCATGGATATGAATTTTGAGTCCTTGTAATCGAGACTTTTATCGAAATAAAATGAACGAATATATCATTTTTTTTATTTAGCTAGATACGAGAAAAGGTACAAACTGCATTGGGTTCAACGAGATTGATATTGACTAAAAGTCAGTTTAGTTTAAATAACTCCAATGAAGATCATTCGTATGAGCAGCTTTGAATATTTTAAGTTTCTTATCTAGTCAAAAAATGTTCATTTCATCGAGATGTACAGAAGTAACTAGATTCTTTTATATTTTGAATATAATTAGAGTTAATGGGTAATTAAAGATACGAGCTTTTATCCCATGAAAATAAGTATGCACTTAACCTGATTCATGTTCTCTGTATAAAAGATTAAAACTGAACCACATTATTACCTAAGGAACTTTTACCTAATTTTGGTTATTTGCCCAATACATTGATTAAATTCCAGTTTTACAAAATTTTTAAAATTTAATTTCTTTTTAAAATATTTTTCTGGAATTTTTTTATTCAGTAAATGCTTTTCAATGGGTCAAGTCTTGATACTATATTATAATTAAATTTAAATGATGATCAAAATTCAAAGGACATTAAATAGAAAAAAAAATTATTGTTATTTATTGAATCATGTTTTGATAGGTAGATTAATTCTAGATTTAAAATTTGTATTTATTGATTAAATGAGTCATGCAGATGCTATTGACAAAAACAAGTACATGATTTAAATGATCTTCTATTGCATGTTATAATAATATCAATGACAACTGAAGATATTTCATGAAGCCTTAATTAAAATATCATTAGAAACATTTCATTTAGTATTCGTTTAGATTTCTGATAAATCACTTATGCACAGCATTTCAAGAATGATGATAATAAAATTGATTGGAATATGATGTATAGTTATTATAAAATGGATGTAGCAACTTAAGAATAAACTCGTGCTTTCATTGCCATTAGTTCGACAAACAATAAAGATCATTTGAATTAGTATAAGAACTAGAAGATGATTTCTTTCTATCTTGGTTTTTTTTTAATAATTATTGAATGAAGACGTAACAAGTGGTGCGCACACAATCAAAAGGTAGCATTATTTTGCTAGGATGAATTACCTAAATGATCATTCAATTGAAAGGAGAAGGGTGTGAATGTCAATGTAGCAAGAGAAAAAGCACGTACTCGCACCCACTCTACGCAGAGATCACGGGATTTCATGACGACTTTTGCAGAGCCAAATATAAATTTTGTTGCAGCGCCCAAAATCTATGTCCGCTGCTAAATTGTTACTATAAATGAGCAAAATATCATTTTCAACTGTGAAACTTTCTCGCACATGTCTACATCGTCTCTTTATACATAGATGCTTGTGAACTGAAATATGCAGCATATCGACGCGACCTTTTGCCATTTTGATTAGTTTCATGACCATTTATTTATATTTATTTCATAGATTTTTCAAATATTGCTCTCTGAGGACGCGCGAATAGTTAATAAGCTCTTCAATGCCATTGACTGATTCTCTATGTTCGAATGTCACACGTTTGCTTTTCTTTGACCAATTAACTTGAATCCATTCTGCACCACCATCTGCACAGTCAGGACAGCCTATGCGATTGTCTAACTTTAGAAATTTTTGTGCGTCGAGAAGAGCAGTACGTTTTTTCCATCGAATCGAAGGGAAACGGAATTGATGTTGAGTAGTTGGATATTTTACTGAATCTCCATTTGATTCCTTCAATGCGATTAATCGAAGCGGAACATTTGTCATATTAATCGATCGACGACAATATCCACGATACTCTCCAAACGATGTTCCACTCGAAATTGAATTTGGACTATTCCATGGGGTTTCTACCAAAAAAACACATGAGTTCTTTAAAGTGACTGAAAGTTATCTTAGCTTCTAGAGCTCAATGAGTTGTGTCTACAGTAAAAAAATCAGCTTACAATATTGTCCCTATAGAGAGATATAACGTACATAAGTTTAGCTAGAAATTTCAACAATCATAAAAATAACAAAAAATTTGAAAATTTACTAAACTTTGTGATCTTCATTTTTTCAATATTGAATGAACAAAAATTAATTTTAATTATATATTCTTGCTTGCCGTGAGCCAGTGCCTTCGCTCATATATAGCTTTTTTATGATTGATTGATAAAGTAAAAATTTTTTATTGGACACACTAGTAATCTATGGAAAATAAGAGTCCTTCAAAGTCAGTCCTTAGAAAATTCGTGAAGGGCAAATTCTCAGACCTAGTGACTTCGTGGGTTTTGTCGAGGAGACTGCTCTACAAGACCCTATATTTGGAATTTTATTCCACCTCGAAGTCACTGAAATATAGACATCGACTTTTTTCCAAGTGTAATCTATAATTAAAGTGTATTTGTGGATTCAGAAATTTTACTCAATCAACTTTGTTCTAATAGAATACCAAATATATAACTATAAAACTTAACTACCTAACATCAGGAAATATCATTTTAACAATTCACTTCATATCGGAAAAGGTATAGTTTGGTCAAAGGCTGATATATCTATAGTAAATATAATAGAATAATACTATGATGATAAATGGTTTTGTAAAAATGTTGACACGAAAAAAAAATAGTTGATATGTTTAATTAAGCAATTATGTATTCTTATGCTATGTTGCTTATTGAAACCTTATTTCATAGAAGTATTGAAGCTTCTGATATTTTCTGCATGGACATATGTCAGATAGATAATATTAGCTTCAATGTGACATCATATTGATGGTATCTGATGTTATAATTTTTAATATAGAGATATACGTATGCTGGAAAAGGTTATTCATACGTAGTCTGAGAAAAGATGTATAGTTTTATTTATTTAATTTTCTGAATTATCAATAATAAATGGTAGTATTAAAAGTAACTAAAATTCTTCCAATAAGTTCTGAATATCGATAAACTGTTCATGACTTAAGTAAACTTCGTTTTGTTGACCAACAATATGATTACAACAAAGAAAAAGAAGAACATTTTGAAGACGTATATTGAAACTATGCTTGTTCTTTGATCGAAACACGTAAAATGTGGTGCTTGGAAACGATGGTTTATAATATTGTACTTGTACTTCTTGAGTTAAATGATCAACAAACTTGATTTGAGCTAAATAAAATTTGTTATTATAATTCATAATCACGAGCATGGCAACATCAACGTCATTCGACGTGTGTATATGTTGAACTGATGATTCCAAGTTGTTCTTGATCAGATACGTAAATGTCTTATAGTCCAAGGAGCTTGATGTATGTTGATAAACTATAGTAAGATTAGGACGCACAAAAAATTGATGAAATGAACGTATATTTTTGATTCGATCTAAGAAATGATTTATTTCGAAATCTGTTTTAGATATATTCTTACTTGATTTATCTAATATTTTCCAACGAGGTTGAAGAATATCATTGTAGACACGTTCAACTGTGTCCGAACTGATGTAAAAAGCATGAATTGGTGGTTGGCTGCTGTTAGATAATTTTGCTGCATCATCATTATATTGCATTGTAAATTGATAGAATTCTTCAGCTGATGAAATTGAAATTCCTGATGTTATTATTGAACGTGTAGCAACAGATTTGACAGTAGCACCTAGCCCATCACATGCTCCCTTCCCGTGTCCGCTACTCGAAAATGTCCAACATGCTTCGAGTCCGAAGTCATGTTTATGATGGGCTAGGTTGAAAATATTGAAATTGTTCTTAAACTGACTTGTTGCACCATCACTAATGCAGAAATAATACAATGTTAGTCGAAGTTTTTTTTTAAACCAACCTTATATAATTTATTTTCATTACAAATGGAAAATTGTTTTTAATAAAATCAATTATCGTACTTTTTTCTACATAAACGAAACTGCTATTATGACACATATAATCACTGATAATTACAATATTCTTGTTAATATCTCCTATCTTTAAGTGAGCAGTAAATATTGTTATTTGTTTATTGTTCCAGTGATAACCTTGTACTTCACGTTGGTAAAAGATTTTGAAGTTCTGTGCAAAATCCAACTGCACTATAATGTATAATGTTTCATTTGAATTTAATCGAAGAGTTTTTATATATTCTTTTTGTTCTGTTGTGTAATGCCAATGTAATAAAAATGTTGACCATTTAGAATCAATTTCATTAAGAAGTGAAGCAGTCGAACCACTGATCTGATAAAGATCAATTTTGTTATTTAATGTTTGCCATTGGGACCATAAAACAATTTCGTGTTTATTTATGTTGATATTTTCCAAGAGAATATCCGATGGAGTTTTCATGCCACATGTATCACAATGGCGAGTAGAATAATTTTCAACTGGAATTCCGCATACAATACGATTGACTAAATATTTGTCGGTGATATTTCAAAATCAGCATTAGGATTATATACATTATTTTTCAAAAATTTGTTCCAACTCTGCAAGAGATTTCATAAAATAATATATATGAATTTTCTTTACTGACCTTTAATAAAAGACTCATGTTTTCGTGATAAATACATAAAAATGTTTCCAATGGACAATTATATTTGACTTGACGTGGTCGTAATGCATAGAACGAAGATTTAGAAATACAAACTGTAGGATTTTGTTTTGTGTTTTGTTGGAAGGACATTGTACTATGTTTAATTTCAGCTACTCTTCCATAATACATTATATTTATTTACAAAAATTTGATTTACAGACGTTTCGAAAGCATCAGCTTTCTTCTTCAGTGTGTTACAATAAAATAAAATAAAACACACAAGACAACAAAATGATAAGTGAATAGCCGTCTATACATACATTTCTTTTTTATCTTTTTATTAATACTGGTACGGAAGAAGAAACAAGACGCTAATACTGGACGAGATGGGTTAGGGTTCATCTTCATCTTCTTCCGTACCAGTATTAATAAAAAGATAAAAAAGAAATGTATGTATA